ACTATATATATATATAGTTCTCTCCTTCTTGTCAGAAGTCCACTTAGGCCTACTCAATTACTTTAGAATTTCAGTTGACAAGCCAAACTATCTTCTCTATTACTATCTCACTAATATTCTGTATGTGATTCATTTACAATTTTGGCACGAGTTACCATAATTGTTTGGTCTTCTTTCTTCTAAGTATCTTCAGTTCCTTTTGTCAAAATGCACTCAGGCTGATTCAAATACTTTAGAACCATGCTTTGATGAATAATTCTTATTATTATCTCCTGTTAGTCTTACTCTAACATATTAAATGTTAGGCCTATCACTTCTACGGTAGTTAACTTCATGCCAAACTTTTCCTTGCCCTGTAACTTTACTCTTTCTTTTGCTATTATGTGTCTGCTTCTTCCTGCTCATCTCACGCTATTTATATCTTTATCACCTAATCGTCTGTCCACCTTCTATATTCTAGACATCAATGTATTGCAAGCGATGTTCAATAGTCTCAACATCAATGAATTATTAACAAAACCTCCTACAATCATCTGCTTTTAACATTAAAAAAAACAAAAAATTAACAATAATAAAATATTCACTCACAAAAACAATAATGTCTAAACTAAACAGTCTTTTATATCATGACAGTCGCAATATGAAAATACCACTCATCACGTGCACTAAATAGGTAAAGTTGCATACGTGATTTAAAAAAGTTTTTTTTTACACAAACAATAGTGACATATTTATGTGAGCAACTAACAATGCACCCTAATCAAAATTGATGTGCATTTTTGTGTACAAGCACACATCTGAAATCTGAAGGATTGCACCCCAGCAGCTAAGAACTGGGAAGCAGAAAGGACTCCCATACTCTACTAAAAGAAAGGGGGAAAAATGTGTTGAAAAGTCCAGAGAACCATAGCACCGGAGAGAGCGCTAGGTGACCTCAATACCCTATTTTGAAAAACAGAGCTACCATGTTAACGGAGTCACATAACCAACATCTGGCAGCATCTGGAATTATACATCAGCTCTGTGGTAGGAAGACTCTCAACACCACTGCTTTACCTGTGTAAGTCCATGAGTGTATGGTCTGGGAAGAACATATTTATGAAGCAATAGACCACTAGATATAACTACAACTGATCCTATGGAACACCCTATCTCTAGGGTGTGTGTAATATAATCATGTGACATTTTATTGTGTTCCATGTAATCTTTGTGATATCGATGCATAGATGACAATTTGGCAGAGTCAATCAACCAACACCTGGTGGCTCTAGAATTGTACATCAGGTCAGTGGTAGGAAGAGCCTAAACGTGATAGACATCTAGTATGGTCACATGACATATAGTGCAGATTTTAAGACTAAGTATATCTGATCAGTCAACACTCACCATAGCGGGATCCAAAACATATGTAGCAAAATGCCCCTGTAAAGAAAAATAAAAACAAACAGAGTAGTCCACATACCCACCCTGATGATGTCCACCCAGGGAAGAGGGTAAAGGGCAGCCAGTGACAAGGTAAGGTGACAGATCTGATGGGAAAAAAACATGAAAAAGTAGGATTCCAATGAAGAAACAAACAGACTTGGAAAACACAGAAGGTCACGGTGCATGTCATATATCATCTAAGGGCCCTAATCGGGCAAAAAATTAGGTCAGGATCAGAATGGTCCTAAAGGTTGGAGATGGAGGTAAGGGAATGAGGAGTGAAATCAGGATTACTATCCAAAGCAGCTGAAGTCTTGGGCATAAAGGAACAGTCAGGAACTATGGTACAACATAGCAAATCCTGATCACAAGCACTTTGGAAAGACGGTGACCACATGCCAACAATATGAGGAACAGGGAGGACAAAGACAAGTAATATAATGAACATGATGACAAAGGTTCCAATCATGGAGAGAATTAAGGTGGGGAGAAGGAGCAATGGAAATTGAGTGAAATAACATAGACAGTACATGAGATTGGAACACAGAAGCAAATTTGGTAAACTGAAAAGTGAAAGACAAAACTACCCTATAACCCACAACAAAGGAAAATGATAGGTCCCAGTCATAAAGCAAAGTGAAAAAGGGTGGCAATGAAGGAATGGTAGAAAGAATAGGATGATAACCTAGGCATATAGACCAACAGTGTTAAGTATATCACATATGCCGGTAAACTGTCAGAGAGGAATGATAAGAAACCAAGGAAGCTAAACACCTGAAACGTCTGACTTTAAGGTGAGGGACTGGACAAATGCCACATGTGAAGGAGTGTGTGTATGGATGGATGATGCACATCACAGTGTGGCTGACAAAAGCAGAGTAAAGTAAAGACCTGTCCAATCCTGACTGAGAACATCCACTGCTCCCACCAATGGATGAGGAACAGGAGACCAAAAACAGGGAAGGTGTGTATTGAGATGAGAGGCAAAAGTGTCCAACTCAGAGACACTCCAAAGCACAAACAACTCCTGAAAAATGAGAGGATTCAAAGACTACCCCATCAGTAGAATTCTGTCAGGACAAGATAACTGATCCATGACCAGATTCAGGGCACCCCTAATAAAACATACCAACAAAGTGATATGATGGTAGTAGGCCCAATATAGAAGATCCAAAATTTGAAAATAAAAATCTCATGCTTGGTGATGTAGGACACTACCATAGACTTGTCAAAGTGGATCATCACCAACTATTCCCAAAGAGCCAGTAGGAAGGTAAGTACTACCCAACAAACAAAGTTCCAAGAGATTGATATGGAGAATGGATTAAGTTCCCTACCCCAAAACCTCCTGAATGTCAAGAAATCCTTCCCAAACAGAAAGAGAAGCATGCATAAAAAAAGTGACAATTCAGACAAGAAGGAGAAAGAGAACATGCCATTGTAATATTGGTCTGATATGACCACCAGTCAAACTCAGACTGGAAGTGAGGGAAAAGGCTAAAAGGAGCATCCTAGGAAACCCAAACAATGCACAACTGATCAATCAAAAGCCACTAAATATGATGTATGTAGGCATGACCAAGAGAAATGAAGGCTTTGAGAGAAGCCCATGTCCCCTAAAAAGATAGAATCTCATGTGCAGAAAGAAGGAAAGTGAGAATAGGAGACACTGCATAGAAGACATTCCATAGCTCTCAAATGAAGGGGAAAAGGCTGATCCCAACAGATAAATTGAGAAACATGCCAAGAAGAAACAGAAATTGAGTAAGTGTGAGGAATGACTTCCCCACCTTGATAAGCCAACCCATCCAGTCATCTTCCCAAAGAAGAAACTGAGTACATAGGGCAGAGTTGGCCTGTGAGAAAGCTAGAAGTAGCTAGTCATCCAGGTAATGGTGTAAATAAAGGCCCCGGGAATGAAACAGTCAATCAAAGGTCCAGACCACTCGGCAGAACACTTAGGGAGTCAAGGCAAGTCCGAACAGAAAAGCCTGAAACTGAAGCACCCACCTACGACGAACAAAATGAAGAAGACATCTGGGAGAAGGTAGTATGTATATATGCATCCAACACAGAACTAATTTATTCATAAACCAGGAGTGAAAACCCAAAGAAGAGTTAAGTACGACTCCGAGGTGAACTTGAGAATGATGAGGAAGGGGTTCAGAGATGATAAATCAAAAACTGGGCACCAATCTACCATCTTTTTGGTAACAACAAAGGGAGTTATGTAGATGGGCTGAATCAACAGATAATACATATTGAAAATCATTTTAAAATCTATCCAACTAGTATCACTTTACTAGTTTGTGTATTTTTACTGCGGCATTTTTATTTGTTTTGGATACTTCTTATGGCAATTCTACAAATAGCTAACAATCCCTACTTTCTGTTAAAATTTCAAATTTTTTTTATAAAAATATTATTTCAAATGTTACTGATAATACTATACAAGGCATATCTAAGTTGATACAAGTAAAAAAGAAAAGCTATTAAATTACCAGAAGAGGCAACTGAGGTGTTTCCAAATGCTGCAGCAAAAGAAGCTTCCGGAATGAAATTAGCAGGGGATGTTGATGTAGTGTATGCAACACCTGTAACTGTAAAGAGGTTATGGTTTAAACAACCTTCAATAAAAAAAAAAGCCTTATCTCAACTGAAGATATAACGTATATTACTAAGTAAATATCTATTTTTTTATTTCTGTTGAGAAGAAAGATTACCTAATTATCTTTCTTTATCAAAATTAATGTAACAATAACCAGATTTCCTTAGTTTTGCAACAAATTTATGAACAATAATTCAGTTAACTATAATAATATAAATATTTTCAGTATATAATGTATGAGTTTTTTTGATTAAACATAAATGTGGTAGTATTGCTTTAGAAACATGAATATGCTACAAATAAGCTAAAATATTTTTTTTCTTATTAATATTACAAATAAAACACCTGCTGAAATGTAAATAGACTTTTCAAAAGATGCTTAGAGTACTATACCAATACCTATTAATGCTGTAAGACCATGGTAGGTGCATAAAAAACAAACACATCTGTAGAAGTCTTCTGTTCCACATGACCAAAGATAATTACCAAGCCAAATGGTCCTTGAATTGTAATACAGACATTAGAATATTAAAATTTTCCTCAAATAAAAATGTATTTCAGATAAGTATTTACCTCTTTGAAGAACAAAGAGCTATTACCTCATGCCACTGCTAAGAAGATTTTTACACATTCCAAAAGCCTTAGATGAAACTCCCACCTCTACATGTATTAAAATGGACTTAATCAGTCTATGATGTAATCACCATAAGACTATAGCCTTCCACAAGTAGGAGATGATACATCATCCATGCATAGCAAACCTCACAAGCATTAAGTCTTACAACAAAGAACTTTCTTGACAAGACAAAACAAACACATCGGACGTGTGGAGGAAGGGTGGTTGGTTCTGAAGGGGAGAGTGCCAAACTGAAATACAATGTCAGGTAAGAGGAAATGTGTAGATAAAAAATTAAAATGATGAGCTCCCACCTGAAATTAGTGTCAGATAAGGAAACCCATGGAGTACATCACCCATTTTTAGAAGGAAACCTAGTGAAGTGTCACTCAGATATTGTGAGAGAAAAGTATTTCCTGACATCATCAATCACAAAGTCCGTTCTGTCATCTCCAGTGTTTAGACATTGATATATATATATATATATATATATATATATATATATATATATACACTAC